AAAAAAAAAAAAATGGTACTTCTATGTAAGGCAGGTCAGGAACTACAACACAGGTAAGGTACTCAGGCAAAGAAGGTTATCTCCAAAGTAGGGTGAAGGTAATGAAAGACAATAGGTGGTGTTGGGCGGACGCTGTAAATCAAGAAGCTATAACAGAGGGGTGCCTAGGTGGCTCAGTCGGTTAAGCGTCTGCCTTCGGCTCAGGTCATGATCCCAGGGTCCTGGGATCGAGGCCCGCATCGGGCTCCCTGCTCGGCCAGGAGCCTGCTTCTCCCTCTCCCTCTGCCCGCCCCCCTGCTTGTGATCTCTAATAAATAAAATCTTAAAAAAAAAAAAAAAAAGGCAGCTATAACAGAATAAGAAGCCAATACTTGAAAAGCCAGCCTTGTTTAATGTTTTTTGTAACCTCTGTGCTTATTCTTATCTATTTTTCTTCATTAATATTTCATAAAATATTTGGCAATGTCCAACCTGTCAGAGAACTAACTTAGGGTTATAGGCACATGAAGCACAGCCTGAAAGGCCAGAAGTAGGTTGGCAGTGGGAATTTCAATGAAACAATTAGGTCTCCTAGAAACAGCTGTCTTTTCTTGTAGAATCAAGGGAGGCTGCATTTCTTGAGATGTCAAATTAGAGACCAAGCCAACTTCCTGTACCTTTCAGCTATCTCGCCCTCACCTCCCTTTCCCTAAAGAAATAGTTGGGAGGAAGAGAGAGGGGCCCAACCCCTGAGAGAGCAAGGGAGAGTGGCTAGGTTAAATGCAGAAAGAAGAGAGAGGTCCTAAGGGTAGGAAATCTGAGCTGCTTTGGCCTCAATGGTCCTTTTAAATCTTGAGGAACAGGCATCAGTGGTATTCTCTATCCTTCTGAGTTTGTGTCATCTGCATAACTGATAAGTTTCCCTTCTTTATCCAGTCCACTGAAAAAAATGTTGCCAGATCTGTAGGACACTGCACTAGATGGACTCAGCTCTGACTCCGCCCAACATAATTAGTTCCAACCCTGAGGATATGCCACTCTCCCCACCCAACACCCCATTTGGGGGCTTGGGGCAGGTGCTGGGCCAAGGCTAGTCAGACCACAGTGATCATATCCAGTCCACAGCACCTTCCATTTTATTGTTTTATTTACAAACAGGGTGAAGTCAACTGGGAAAATCAGGAGTAGGGAGTCAGTCTGGGCCATCCAAATGTGGAGTGGTTCCTGGGTCAGTCTCCACCATGAAGGCTGCCTCTTCTATCCTTTTCCTGCCCCTTGGTAATGGCCCCTTGATTCCTCAGGGCAGCCTCGCATGCTGCTCCTGAGCCCTTGTATGAGGGCAGATGGATCCTGGGGGAACAGGGGTGGTACGAGGGCTGGGGCCCCCTCAGTTTGTGTAAACCTGAGTTCCGATCACACGCATGATTTCCTTCTGTATCTTGGGGTCCTGAGTATTAATGTTGGCATCGCCCACCTGACCATCCTCATATCTGCCAAAGATAGGGCAAGTGTGAGCATAAGGAGGAGAACAATACCAGAATAATGTCAACCAGTGGAATTATATTTGGAGTTGTGGCCATCCCATCCCAGAAGTTAAAAATCTTTCTTGCTATTCTTCTGGGTGGAAAAGATTCAGCTTATCTCATTTCCTTTAAACAGACCTTGACCTATACCCATCCCCATCTTCCACAGGGAAAATTCCAGTGCCAGCTCCACACAGGTAGCCAGGGACAAGTCTTGGATGACAGAAACAGACTTTCCCAGTAATCACACCATCCCACCCCCACCCTCATTCCTCAGAGTGAGCCCCAAGGTACCCTCCTAGACTTACACAAAGAAGAACCGTGTGCAGACATGGTCAGACACAGGGCACACCCAGATGTTCCCATGCTTCTGGAGGTCCTTAGATGTAATCACTGGGAAAAAGGGGGCCAGAAGTTATAGATATAATGCTTAAGTCACACAGTCCAGGGAGGGGAGGGAAGACATGATGTGTCAACAACACCCTTGGCTGGATCATAAGGTTGGGGACACAGAAAAACAGGGACTGGGTGAGCCACCTACCTTCACAAAGTGCTATACAGTTTAGATTCCGACTCTGCAGGAACCTCGACTGAATGGATCGGGTCTGGAAGAGAAGGAAAGCAGAGCCAGGTGGACTGTTACAGCTTTACCTAGACAGCACGGTTAGCTGCTGATGGCTAGGGGGGATATCTGGGACTCCCCAGACACCACCTCGCCCAAATTTGCTTTCCCATAATCAGTCTGGATGAGTCCATAGCTTCCATCTTTACATTTTCATGTCACTGCATTTAAACTCAGTCTCTGTTTTCATACTTATGACTGAGGCCACATATGACTCTGGAAGTTTGTTCATCTTAGAACATATCTGATTCCTTCAAATGATCTGCAAACTACCCACCTCCCCAATCATCTGTTTCCCCATCCATCTCTGTAGCCTAAACTTATCCCAGGGGAAGGGTTCTGCCTCACTAGAGCAGTGCCAACCAATAATACCTGGGGGATGGTATTCATCCTGTTATATCTCTGGACCAGCTCATCCTTGGAGGGCATCCTGTGCTGTCCTTTTCCCATGCCTGTCACAGAACAACAAATCCAGTTCACTCACCCATTTCTCAAATATTTACTAAGGTGCATACTAAGTGCCAGGCACTGAGCTACACATGTAGTGAATAAAACAAACAAGGTATCTGCCCTGACACAATTTAGTCTGATGGAGACTAGAGCAAAGAACAAGTAATTACAACACAGTATGGTAAGAGGTGTAATGGGGAGAATCTAGAACAATGTGTGAGCTACAGGGGGGAACTAGCCTGCTCTAGGGGTTTGAAGAAGGCTTCCCAGTGACAGCTAAGAAGAACTAGTTAAATGAAGAGGAGGAAAGTGTTCTGAGGTAACAGGACATGGAAGTCCTGAAGGAAGAAAGCAATGTGCCTTAGTTTGTATGGAGCATAGTCAATGGAAGGGGAGTGACAACAGATGATGTGGAAGCTTTAAGCTAGGTCAGATCAGGCAGGCCTTACAGACCATGTTAAGGCAACCGGAGTTTATCCTGAGAACATCAGAGAATTACTAAAAGGCTCTAAGACAGGGGAGGAACACATGAAATGAGCCAGGAATGAGGGGCCCAGGAAAGTGGTATCAACACCTTGGATCAATGCCAGGTTGAGCAAAATGAGTGAAGAGGAAGTGAAAGGAAGAGTGAAGACTCGCTTTGCGAGTCAGATCTGCTCTAGTCTCAAAGTTACATAGAAAACTATGACCAGAGTCACTTAAAAGAAAAGGCAGAAAGCACAGCAGGTAAGTGATGAATAATTTTCCACAAGTAACCACAATGGCAACAACCTTAAGAATCCTGCTTACTTCCTCAAGTCTTTGAGGAAGTGGTGCCAATTCCATTTCCCCCCTACCTAAATCCATAAATCCTCCACCATCCATATCTCCCAGTGAATAGCCCTATTTATAACATTTATAGACTCCTTCTAGATTTTTCTTATTTAGATACAAAACAGTGCTTATGTGCCCCTACTCCCAACTGTTTTTGGCCTGTGACTAAGACTTCAGTCTTTGTACTAAGCTTTCTCACAGACCCAGCCTTATCACAGTCGTGTGTGTGTGTGTGTGTCCCCTTCTGTTAGAGAGGGAGATGGATGAAGATGGGAAATGATGCTATCACAACAGGCCATAAACCCGGCCTCACCACTCCATCCTGCAACTTTCTATTACTAATCCCACTCTGCTTCAATTCTTGGTTTTGTGCTAGCCATGGTGCAGGAGTGCGGATGACTGGACTGACATTCTTCACTGCTCAGGCTGTCAATTCATCAGGCACTTACACTAAAGTCCCATGACAGATTTATGGCCTGAACAAAACTCAGGGCAAGACTTAAATTAATTTCTTCCCCCTACAGAACACTTACCACCCCTCTATTTCCACTTTCTCCATTAGCCTTAACTAGGTTTAGCTCTGAATCCAAACATCATGACCTTCTCATCCTGGGTATTTCAGTGCAAGATTCTGAGTGAAATTCCCACTCAAGTTCTACCCCAGAGGATAAGAAAGAACAATCTGCTTTCTATGGCTGGTCTTTGAGATGGCCCTTATGATACAATCCAAATCCTGTCCCATCCCAATCCTGTTGCACACTGTCCTGTCCATATTGACCCAATGATCTTCTGTCAGTTTACCAAGACCAAAATCTGAGAACATGGTGGCTAGCATAATCCCTTAATGCTTTGTGTCCAGAGTACACACATATCAGAAGTCTCTAAACAGAACTAAACAAACAGATGATTACCATCTTCTTTCTCACTGGCCCTCATTATAACCTGCACACAATGGCCAAGTCACTGGAATAGAGGCTCCACGAGCCAAACGGATGCTCTCTATTTATACCGGCTCCCAGAGGGCACCAAATGCCAAAAAACTAAGGATACCCTGAGGAAGAACAGAGAAAACCAGAGCTAAATAGGGTAAGATGGAAACATATAAGAAGACAGAGTTGGCTAAATGCTAGAGTAACTACAATAAACTGGACATTTGTACACATCTCACATGATAGACCCTCACATATCTTTGGACCCTCAAAGACGCAGTCATTCAAGTAAAGCCTACCTGGTCAATCCAATAAAGTGATAAGAAAACTGGCCTAGAAGCTAGGAGGCCTAGACTCCAATCCTAGCTCTGCTACTCACAGTTGTGTGACCCCAAGAAAGTCCTTTAACTTCTCTGTATGAGCTTTCCTAACTGTAAAGTAATAAGGACTGGATGTAACTCTAAGAGTAAAATCCTATGCCATTTTGTATCCATAATCAATGGACCTCTGCAAGAGGGAAAAGCATGGTGCCATATGATGTTTTTATATAATCAGGAAAGTAATGAAGAAAGATAAGGGGTCAACAGAGATTCCTGGCTCCATATGGCAACTAAAGGGATTCAGGCACTTAGTAAACAGAAGCCAGTGAGAGAGGAAAGAGGGCAGGAACAGGGAGAGAACAGACAGGAAGCAAGAATTCTGTGGGCACCAAGAACCAGAAGAATCTAACTCAGAAAATAAGAGCTTAATGAGGGAAGCTCAGGCTTGGACAAAGATAAAAACTGAGAAACCTGGACAAAGAAGCCAAAAAGACTACCCCAACACAACCCCTACTTTGCACTGCAGGCACACAGAGTAAGATTCATTCACGCATTCAATCAGTATTTATAGGGCACTTACCCTGTGTGGATTCATCATCAGGTTTGGTTCATGACACACTATCATTAATTTATTTATTCATTATCTATTATACCTAAAGACCCAACCTATAAACTAAATCCAAGAACCAAAACATTACTAGTGACTTACACCTAACTATCTGCCTCTTCTTGGAGGTAACCACTATCCTGAAATTTCTTTAGTTTTAGCATACACACATGCACCTAAATGTTTAATTTTGTTTGCTTTTGAACAATATAAAAAAGACATCATTCAGTAGTGTTCTGGGCTTGCTTTTTTTTTTTTAAGATTTTATTTATTTGAGAGAGAGAGAAAACATGGAGGTGGGGGAAGGAGCAGAGGGAGAGGGACAAGCAGATTCCACGGTAAGTGCAGAGGCTGACATGGGGCTTGATCTCACAACTCTGAGATCATGACCTGAGCTGAAACCAAGAGTTGGACGCTTAACCGACTGAGCCACCCAGGTGCCCCTGGGCTTGCCTGTTTTAAAATCAACTAATTACTAAGATTTTTCCATATAGTTGAGAGCCACTGTTCATCCATTTTCATTGCTAAATAATAATCCACCCTGAGAATATACTAAAATGTATTTATCCATCCTCCTGATAATCTGATAATGAGCATTTGGGTTGTTTTCAAGATTTGCTATTGCAAATGGTATTGTTTTGAACATTCACGTACACCTTTGGGTGTATGTAGGCAGGAATGAAAATGCTGGGTGGCTGGGATAAAATTTTTCAGCTCTATGAAATTTAACACCAAATTATTTTCCAAAGTGGTTATACCAATTTATATCCCCATTAAAAATAAAAGAGATCCTGCTGATCTACAACTTCTAGAACCATTAGAGGTATTACCAGATTTCTTGATTTTTGCCAATCCACATAGATGCTAAATAGTAAGTCTTTTTGGTCTTGATTTTATTTCCTTGATTAATAGCAGTTGAGCAGCTTTTCATATTTTTTGGTCATTTCTTCAGTGAAACGCCGGTTCATGTCATTTACCTATTTCCCTATCAGGTTGTCTTTTTCTTATTGATTTTTAATTATTTTATTTTTTAAAAAAATATTTTATTTATTTGAGAGAGAGAGAGAGCACAAGCAAGGAGAGAGGCAGAGAGAAAAGCAGACTCCACACTGAGCAGGGAGCCCGACATGGGGCTTGATCCCAGGACCCTGGGGTCATGATCTGACCTGAAGGCAGATGCTTAACTGACTGAGCCACCCAAGCGCTTTGATTTTTAAAATACATTTTTATTACTAATCTTTTGTAGTTAAATGTGTTGCTAAATGTCTTCTCGTTTGTAGCTTTTCACTTTCTTACAAAGTCTTCTGATGAACACAAGTTTTTAGTTTTAATAAAGTCAAATTTACTGATCTTTTATGATTTATAATTCTATTTCCATTCTCTGGGTAATTTTGTATAAGACTGTAATAATTGGTTTGGTTTGGTTAAAGTTTGGTGTAAGACTCACTTATAAAACTAGGGGCGCCTGGGTGGCTCAGTTGGTTAAGCGACTGCCTTCGGCTCAGGTCATGATCCTGGAGTCCTGGGATGGAGTCCCGCATCAGGCTCCCTGCTCGGCAGGGAGTCTGCTTCTCCCTCTGACCCTCCCCCCTCTCATGTGCTCTCTCTCTCAAATAAATGAATAAATTTTAAAAAAATCTTAAAAAAAAAAAAAGACTCACTTATAAAACTATCTAGGCTCAGTGAGTTTTTTGGGTTTTTTCTGTTGTTAGAGTAGTTTAAAATTTAGAGACTCTTCTAAGTTCTATGATTCTGGACCTAAGTTTTCCTATCTTTGTAACAGTTAAATTACTGGAGAATACTAAATAATAACCTATAAAGAATCTAATACTGTCCCTTTTATATGGCAGATGTATAAATATATGGTGGTTATCCTTTATACAGAGACTATACAGAACAAGAACAAAAGAAGACTGAAAAGGAACTAAGACATGAACCTGGAACACTGAGAGAGCTTCAAGTCAGATTCGTTTTCTGAACAGAACAAAGCTGGACTTATCTCCTGACTAGAATATGGGCTTCATTCATGCCTTATCTTTGGAATACAAGGCTTTCTCTTCCATCCAATGTAACTATTATAATATTATGTAATTATCAACAGTTTAAATTTTAAAAGGTAGTTGTCAGGGAGAACAATGTCTCCAGACATGTAAGCCAATGGAAGTTACTCAAGCCTTCAAGTGTATTCATATATAAACTCACATGCACGTGGGCACATACACCATCCATAATAATGACAGGCTACCGCTAACACCAAAAATGTAGTCTACACAAAGCCTCATTTCAATCTCCCAGTTAATCCCTAACTTAACCTCAGAGTCAAGCCTCTACAATGAATAAAACTATCCCCATGGAGAAGAGGACTATCTAAGAGAAAGGGAGACAACTGGCCTCGCCTTGTAAAGAATCTAAATTTCTAATAAGAGGAGGCAGAGAGACAGACTATGTATCTATGACTGGGGAGAGAGCTGACAAAGACCAAGTATCCATGATGAACGAGGAGGAGACAGCATAGATTATGTATTTACAAAATGAATGCGACGTAAATACAGTCAAAGTGGCCAGAGAGTATTTCTTACCTGAGTATCCAAAGGAAATACTGGAGATGGGGCTCAGGTAGATGCCTTTGCCATACGCTGCTCCATGCAGCTTGCAGGGAAACACCAGGATGAGCAATATGAGCCTGGGCCCTCCCATGGCTGTATATTAGGCAGCCACAAGGCTTATCCAGCCCTCTGTCCCTCCAATTACCTTCTCACTCATTCAGATAACACTAGGAACCTACTCTTGAAAAGCTGATTGGCTGAAAAGTGGCTGCAGATTAACCCCTTTGTCCTACTAGATATTGATGTCTTTGAAAGTGAGGAGTGGCAGCGCCACTGAGTCAGTCCCTCAGAATCCATACTCCTGTCCCCAGGCCTTGGCACATATGCAGATTCCAAAAAAGGAACTATAGAACAGGTAGCCAAGAGGAGGGACAATATGCATTCCTTGGAGGCTCACAGGCCAAAGAAACAAGTCTTTCATATCAATTCTCTGAATTGACTGAATGACAGTCACATAAATTAAAAAGCTTTGTCTAACAGGTTAATTCATCACAGTGGCTGCAGTTAGCAATTCATATTCCTGCCTATTACTACAATCCCGTTCCCGAAACCACCAAAAAATACAGCCTGGGGTCAATGATACAACAGCCACATTCATTCTATACAAACAATTTCAACCTCTTTCCTAGGGAAGCCCCACAACAGGCTAGATTTGAGGATGCTGAGGCAAAAACAGCTGAGTACTCTAGAGCAGCCTTCCCCAAAACTGAGTGGGGCAGGGAGGGGGTGTGGAGAGAAAGGGAAAGGGGCACAGCCTCACCTGCAGTTTGGTGTAGGATGCATTGACCAGCCCATTGCGCAGGATCGAATGCCAGTTCTCAATGTGGGACCCACTGTAAGGCAGGGTAGAAGACATGTGTCCTCACAGTATGAGGTTCCCAGAAGCACTTCTAAGACTGCCACTCCCACCCATCCTCACCCACACAGGACATGATGATAGACACAGATACACCTAGTGATGGACATGCACATGGATACAGTCACAGGCATGCAAGATATGTGCATGTGGCTAACCCTCCATCTTAATTTCCAGTCCCATCCTTTTTTCTGTGCTTCAGGTAGTCCCATCCTAAATCCCCAAATGCTGGTTCAGCATTTTGTCTATTTTCCTGATATTTCAAGTTAAGTAGATGCATCTCACACTCAACAAATTATCACTGATCCCAAATACGGCTGCCAGTCCTGATTTGACATCTATTTTAAGAAAAGGGCACCACTACGCCCTTCTTAATCTCTCTCTCACTTTCTCTCCTCTCCCACAATTCGGCATAAATCACTGATTTCCTTCCAAGTAGCTTTCAGATCTATGTCCTCTGATCTGTTCCTTCAACCACATCTTTTTATATGTAAATGTCATTTTTCTTCAACTATAACATAAGTAGCTTGAGAGTAAAGACCATATCATATGTATCTTTTTACCTTCTACAGCACCTACCATAATAATAATAAATATTTGACTGATCAGTTAGTGGACATAGGTAACACACGCTCATATACCTCAAGTGAAGTTGCCCTCCCATCCCCCTGAATTATTTGTTGTCCTCCCCACCCCCACCCCCAGTCCCCACCCTCCTCACTGGAAGGCAAAGGTGCTGCCATAGAGCTTCTTGGCGGTCCGGAACCGAGCCTCCTTGGCAGGAGGGCTGCTCAGCAGGAGGAACTGGTGTGAGGTGTGCATGAACTTCAGCTGCTGCCCAGGGTGGGGGTCGGGTCAGGAAAACAGAGCAGAAATGGAGATCAGGGAGGGAAGGGTTGGGGACAGGGAGCAAATCAGGCTTGCACTGACTCCAAATAAAGAGATTATGCTTAGGTCCAAAGACTACTGTTGATGGACAGAGCCAATGAAACAAGTCTAGGACCAATGTGGTTAGCTGGTTTGGAGCCCCTCCCTGCCCCTCACCAGAAATTTCAAGAGTTTAGAAGAATAGTCACTTACCCTGCTGAGAGGTAGTTTGACAATGTGTGACCTGTTGCTAGAGATGATCCTAGCATAAAACAGAAAAAAAAGGAATGGAAAGAATGAATGTTTGGCCAGACCATCCAGAACAAAGCAGCAGCCTTGCTGAACCCCTGGGAGAACAAGCAAGGATTCCAGGGCTGTCTGCCTTGTGTGAAATGTTCAGATCACTATCTGGGTACTCCTGGGGTGGTAATGCTCGTGAGAAAAATGTAAAAGGGAAGCTACCGACCAGAGACCAGCTAGTTACTGGGTAAACGATGGATGAAAGACAGGGATGAAAGGGAGACTGCTACATCTAGGAAGAGAAAAGGATAATACAAAAGGAAGAGTACATAAGATCAGCTACAAAAAAAAAAAAAAAAAATCAGAAAGCAGGGATCTGTATTAGCAGGGTGACAACTTGTACTTGGAATTTAGAGACATACAACTGGGGCTCAAGAGCCATCCCATCTGAGCTCAGAGGAAGCCTTCAGGGCTCTTGAGGATGGGGAGGAATGGAAAGAAAGTTACTGTTTGGGCTGGAGAAAAAAACAGAAGAAACTACAACAATCTTCCTGAGGATTCAAGGACACATTGGGCTGTGTGTCGGCTGAACTCAGAGCACAGGAGAGAACAAAGGCATAAAACGCATATAGCGGATACAGTTTGGTTCTTTGGGCTTCACCCATTTACTTGTGATGCCATCCTGGATAGTCTATGCCTGATCACTCCTCATGCTATGTGGGAGCATGCTGCATTGAGAAAGTACTGATGTCAAAAGCTGACTAGGAAAAGAGGGGAAAGCTATGTCAGGAAAACAACAGAAATCAAGATCAGGGAAGGAGGGCAGGAGGTGGAGGGCAGAAGAAATGTTCAGGATCTTTGTTAGAAAGGAATAATAATAGTGCCTCAAGGCTCTGGACAGTGTACAACAACAGGGAAGGCCTTGAGACGGGGAAAGGGAGTAGAAGAGGGAGACAGACTTCTCTGGATGCACAGAAAACTGAGCTGTAACAGTACTAATGCTTACATACAGAGGATACTTAAAAACCTATTGGGAAACAACACCTAAAGAGAACCCGAAACATGATGTCAGAATTTGTGAGTTCTTAGTAGGCTCTGAGTTCTTTTCAGGGCAGTATATCAATAAAACCCCAAGAAAAAGCAGCCAGAACATCTATAACCTCAGGGACGATGCTAAAACTGCCTCTAAAAGAAGGTGTAGGTTCCATGTCTAATATACACCCCCACACCTCCCTTCCAATCCCCGCAGGATGAACCATTCTATCCATACTACTTACCACTGCAAGAGAGGATGGGCCAAGGGATCCAGCTTGTCCATCTGCTTCTTGATTTCTAGATATGAGCCCTGTAAGACAGAGGCCATAAAGTTACCTCCCAGGAGAGGTGGGGCCCTCCCACTTACAACAGACTGACTATCAGGGCCCAGGGCAAGGTAGGCACCGTAGGCCACAGAGAGGCAAGCGGAGATGGGGTTCCCACCCTCAAGGAGCCCAGTCAGATTGAGAAGACTCATAAATAAATATGAAAATGACTGAAAATGCTTACAAAACAACATGCAGGTGGGTCTCCCTCATTTTATGCAATTCCTACAACCCTAAAAAGTTGACTTTAAATCAAAAATAAATAAAATCAATGTCCCAAAAAGATCAGGCTAAGGAATCCTGTGGTAAAACTTTACATAAAGCAGAGTCCTTCTGACAAATCATCCCTCCTAGGTATATCTTATGTGTTAATCTGAACTGTGATAATATAGGATTTGCTGAGAAGAGGCCCACCTGTAAATGTGAGTACAAATGAATGTCTATTCATGCAGAGATTGCAGACGAGGGGTGGGGAAGTCTGGTGAGGGGCAGCCTTGAGTCAAAGGATGGTCACTGCTCCATGTGGCTGCCCCACCCCTAGAAGGACAGAAGATGTAGGCCCCTGGGGCTAGTTCCTTACGTCCAAGCCCCCTCCTCACCCTCCCAACCCTGGGCAAAAGTCTTTCCCTCACTTCTCTAATTCCCTAAGAATTATGGGGAAAACATTAAATATGAACAACTTGTGAAGGAATTGGCAGCAAAGGTAAAGGTTGAGAGAGACATCAGGAGTGAGAAAGGAATAACAGAGAACAAGGACTGGGAAGGCTGAAGAGGGAAGACTAAAGAAAATACAGTGAGGAATCTGAGTAGCATTTCTAAATCTTCACTCCATTCCCATGGATTCCAAGCACAACAGGGCACTTAAGCAGGACAGGCAGAGGGCAGAATACCTGGGTCATCTCCCGGATGGACATCACACTATCCAGAGCTTTCTGAAGTCGCTCATAATTCTTCTTCTGTGGGGAATCAATAGGAAGAGAAGACCCAGATGAAGAAAAGTAGAGGAGAGTAAGATGTAATGAAAAGGGAGGGCCAGATGTACAAAAGAAGTCTAGGCCCCAGGGAAATAGCATGTCATGGAAAGAACACAGATTGAATGTCAGACAGTTCTGGAATCACCTGCTAGTTCTCTTTTACCAGCTAGAAGTAATAGGGGAAGTTACTTAACCTCTTAGAACCTCGTATCCCTGTATGTTAATGAAGATAAAAATTCCCACTACACTCGCAGAGATGTTCTGAGGACTAAATAACATATGTAAAGAACCTATATAGTGCCTGATACATAGCAAGAAGGGTAATAGTGAGGCACTCTGCTGGGTACTTGTGATGGTTAATTTTTTTTTTTAAGATTTTATTTATTTGACAGAGAGGGAACACAAGCAGGGAGAGGGAGAAGCAGGCTTCCCGCTGAGCAGGGAGCCTAACTTGGGGCTCGATCCCAGGACCCTGGGATCATGACCTGAGCCAAAGGCAGACACTTAACGACTGAGCCACCCAGGCGCCCCTTGTGATGGTTAATTTTGTCAGTGGTTAATCAAGTTGATCTAACTGGGTCATGGAGTGCCCGAACATTTTGTCATGCATTACTCTTGGTGTGTCTGTGAGGGTGTTTCTAGATGAGATTAACCTTGGAATCAGCAGACTAAGTAAAGCAGATTGCCTGCCCTCATTTGGATGGGCCTCACACAATCAGTTGAAGGTCTGAGGAGAACAAAAAGGCCAAGGAAGAGGGAACTCTCCCTGCCTGACTGCTGAAGCTAGGACACTCACTGGTCTTTTCCTACCTTTGGACTGGAATTGAAAAATCTGCTCTTTTTGGATCTCAAGACTGCCAGCTTTTGGATTGGAATTTACACCACTGGCTCTCCTGGGTCATCAGCTTGCCAACTGCAGATCCTGGGACTTCTCAGCCTTCGTAACTGCACGAGCCACTTCCTTCTAATAAATCTTTTTCTATATATATCTCCTACTGGTTCTGTTTCTCCGGAGAACCCTAATACAGTACTTTACATATATTATCTCTCATTTTTATAACAACCTGCAAGATAGGTATTATCCCCTTTTTACAGATAAGGAAATCAAGGTTCAGAAAGGTTAAGCAACTTTTCTTACACCATTCAGCCACGGAAGAGTAGAACCAACCTCAAATGGAATCCAGGTCTGTCTGGTTCCAAAGTCGATATTCTTCACTACTAAAACCCAATAATGTTAATTCTTCTCTCCTCCTTCTAACAAACTCAGTTAGTTAAAACAGCTAAAGCTTGGGGTTTAAGAGTTCCCAACAACCAAGTGTTCCATTCCTTCTGTCCCGCATTCCAAGCTATTATATACACTAGAACGACAGCCCACAGACTCCCACTATCTCTTATCATTTCTATTCCTTAGCCCTGACTTTCTTCCCAAGCAACGATACCTTGGGGTTAAAGGCCAGAGTCTTGGGATCAGTGGGGTCCACCACAGACGGATAAGGCTCAAAGATGATGCTCTTTCTAGGGGACTCCAAAGCTGCCCTACACATGGCCACCAACAGATCCACCACCTTAGGAGAAAAGAAAGAAGGCAGAAGCTAAAGGATCTCCCAGAGCTGGGAGTCACATAGTATCCAGCATAGGTCCACCTTTTGGAGGCTCTCAGCACTTCTCTCTGCTGTTCTTTTTAAAAAGCAAATATGCTTATGGTTTCATTAGAAAATACAGGCTGCTTATAAAAATTCAAGTAACATTGAATTAAAAAGTGACTAAAGAAAAGACAAAAATCATCCCCCACCCCCAAACAAATCTCACACATCACAGGTACTACTGTTAAGTCTGATGTCTATCCTTTCAGATTATTCTTCCTATGGAACTAGTTATTTTATTAAATAGGCAACTGAAAAAAAAACTACACTACACTTACTGTTGCATTATCTTTTTTATATATAATGTTCTACCCATAAGTAATAGCTGTATAGTATTTCCACTGTAAGGACATGCCATGGTATCTTTAACAGAACCCCAGAGATGGAATTGTATCCATGTTTTTTTTTTCACTATTACAAACAAGAGTATCTTGAACATTCTTACACACGTAAGCATTTCTGGAGGTTAAATTGCAAGGAGTGAAATTGCTAGGTTGCCTGGCCTTTCTTGATGCCAGTTCTCCAGCAGCTTTTCCCTCTCCCATACCTCTGCTCCAGTGGCGACCTCCTCTGCAGCTCCGGACATGACTCCCAGAGTGTAGAAGGAGAAAACACACAGCTCACGAGTACAGACGGCTGGCTGGATGGACATATTAAACAGACAGTAGTGGCACAGGGTGTGCAGTAAGAAGGTGTTATAGAGAGGACAAATCTGACCTCAGACAACTCTAGAATGAGGTAGGAATTTGGGGCCCTCTACATCATAAGAAAACTACAAATTAGTCTTAATTAAAACGCCTTATGTATAAGTTTGAGAGATAATGCTATCTTCTCTATGAAGCCTTCCATGACTTCCCTAGGTAGTTAGATGTTCTCTGTTGTGAGTTTCCACAACCCTGCTCGTGTCTCCTCTCCATACTTACAGTGCAGTGTCTGTCCACCTACCTAGACCTGGGAGTCCTTGAGAACACCATTATATGCAATCATCTTGATCAATATCTGATCCCTATTTTTAAATACTGGGTGGGGGTTATAACTTCAAAAATGTTCATATATCCTCATCTTTCCAAACAGGACTGCTGAGATTTGTTTTCTGAGAAAAACAATTATTTCTAGAGTCTCAGGGAGTATGGACAGAATTCTACCTTTACCATAGACCTAGGAAGAAAGGCGAGATGAGGAGTGAAGGGCCTTGGCTAAGGGTCCAAGGGAAGAGGGTCACAAATTAGGGCATGTACCTTGAGCATGGACCCATTCTGGAAGACATGCTGCTCATCACACACCACACAGTACTCATTCAACGTTGGAATCCTCTGTTCTGCATACTTCATGATCTTAGGAGAGAAGAGATTGTATCAAGTCCTTTGGAAGTACAGGCACAGGTAAGGGAAATTATTTAAGCTTCTTTCCAGCTACTCTCCCTACTCCCAGCCCTGTGCCTAAGGCAGAATCTATTTTTGGGCCCTGCGCTTAGTTAAACTGATGGCCCAACTCTAGAGCTGCAACTATATATTACAGTAAACACAGGAATAGCCATGGCAGAAGACCTGAGTTAAAATCCTACCCCCCTCTACCACTTGATAACATATATAACTTTGGGCAAATCAGTTAACCTGAGCCTTGTTTCTTCATTTATAAAGTGGGTATTATTAACCCCACAGAGGAATGGAGATTAATGAGATAATTTCATGAAAGTATTTTTTTTAAAAGATTTTATTTATTTGACAGAGAGACAGCAAAAGAGGGAATACAAGCAGGGGGAGTGGGAGAGGGAGAAGCAGGCTTCCCGCGGAGCAGGGAGCCCGATGCAGGGCTCGATCTCAGGACCCTGGGATCATGACCTGAGCCGAAGGCAGACGCTTAACGGCTGAGCCACCCAGGTGCCCCTTCATGGTAGTATTTTATAAACATTAACAGGTACTACCCAAACTATTAACCTTAGTTGTGGTAATTACAGATTGTTCCTCTAAGATAGGTGAATATTCAGTCCATGATTACATGGTAGGAGGCCTGAGAAGCCATTTCAACTACCCAGAACAATCAGCCTGTCCACTGGTCAAAAGCATAGATACAATTCTGTTGGGAAGAGAGCACAAATCCAGAGCCGTTTGGCAATACCCTAAAAAAAAATTGTTTTAACTTAACATATAGTGTTTTATTAGTTTCAGGGGTAGAATTTAGTGATTTATCAGTTGCATATAACAGCCAGTGCTCATTACTAAAGAATTTTTTAAAACGTCCTGTCTAGGGCGCCTGGGTGGCTCAGTCGTTAAGCATCTGCCTTCGGCTCAGGTCATGATCCCGGGGTCCTGGGATCGAGCCCCGCATCGGGCTCCCTGCTCCGCGGGAAGCCTGCTTCTCCCTCTCCCACTCCCCCTGCTTGTTCCTGCTCTCACTATGTCTCTGTCAAATAAATAAATAAAATCTTTAAAAAAAATAAAACGTCCTGTCTAGGGGCACCTGGCTGGCTCAGTCAGTGGACCACACAACTTTCAATCTCGGAGTCATGAGCTCAAGCCCCACACTGGTGTAGAGCTTACTTAAAAACAAAAACAAAACCTAAAAAAAAAACAACAATAACAAAATAAAACCACACTCTGTCTTTGTTTTTTTTTTTTAAAGATTTTATTTATTTATTTGACAGAGAGAGACACAGCAAAAGAGGGAATACAAGCAGGGGGAGTGGGAGAGGGAGAAGCAGGCTTCCCGC